GATGAATTTTAGGTCACTCATGCGTAGATGCAAATCATGTAGATTACTTGGAAATAAAGAGATTCGATATACTGACTCATCATTAAGACATAAGTACACTACACTGCTCCTTGATTGTTGGCTATGGTTTTAAGGAAAAAGTCTTGTGCATATGTGTATGTATTTTTCTATCTATGCATAAAATAATTTTAAGACTACATGAAAGATGGGGCATTTGTTCAAAATCTGTTATGTATATTTTAGAAAAAATGATCATAGACCAAATCTTCTGATTTTTGGTATCTGAATACAAATGCTCTATTTGTTGCATAAACACCATTAAGGAATTAAGTTGGAGCTTATTATTTAGGGACAAAATTCTTCAAAATCGTCTTCTTAAAAATATGCTTCTAAGTAAGCAGGGAAACTATAATTGTTAAATTGATATAACTTACTCTAGGGAATTTTCCACTTGTAATATTGTTAAGCATTATACTTTTCAGAAATAGCATTTTCCCTATTATTTTATAATATGCTTATTTTTAAATACTAATTGATAACTGTAAAATACAAATATTAGGAAGTTATGTTAACAAGTTAATAAAATAACTGATAACTCACCAATTATGGGTAATCATCAATAATTATTCAGATCTGATTTTATTCTTACCTTCAAGCTATCTATTTATTTATAAAAATATTGTTTGGGCTGGGTATGGTGGTGCATGCCTTTAATCCCAGCAGCTCAGGAGGCTGAGGCAGGAGGACCCCCAGTTTAAAGCCAGCCTCAGCAAAAGTGAGGTGCTAAGCAACTCAGTGAGACCCTGTCTCTAAATGAATTACAAAATAGTGCTGGAGAAGTAGCTCAGTGATGGAATACCCCTGACTTCAATCCCTAGTACCTAAATAAACAAACAAATAAATAAATAAAGTTTGGGCCATATTCTACTTATATTTTTTATAAACATTTTTATTCTTAGTATTATGTTTTCCCAGGGTATTAAATTTGACTTGAGGAACATTATTTATACTGACATGGTAGAATTTCACCTAAGTATACACTCTGTAACATCACTAGTCCATTTCAAGTTATTTTTCTTATTGTATACATGCTGAGATAACTCTCTGTTACCTCACTCAGAATGATTCAAATTCAATAGGTCAAAGGGGATTAACATTTTCAAAGCTTCTCATAATTTATGGTTTAAACTTAAAGAAGATTCTATGTGTTACTAAAACAATCTTCCAATGAATTTGCTTTATGAAACATTCTAAAATAAATCACTTGAAATATGTGAAGTGATGCCTCTGTATACATTATTTAACTTTTGGGTTATGAAAATTTATTTAAGAAATATTAATATCAGCAGGTCGAAATCATAGAGCTGGAAATCATTTCCTGGTAAACAATTAAAACATACAAACTTGTATCATTAAAAAAAATTTATATGATGAACAAAATTCCTCACAATGCAAGTTATTACTGAACTTTAGAAACTAGCATGAATTCATCCTTTAAGGAACTACTAATGTGCTGTCTACAGAGAAGAGGTACCCTCTTGCTTAAGATAGTATCATGGGTAGTGCCCAGATCAAACTGGAAGCTTCCAGCACTTGCCACCATGTCCCTAGTCATACCAGACCCAGACAGCATGGCCTCTTCCTATATCACCCAAATCACACTCACAGTTTATAAAGAAAATTTCACTAAGGCACAACCTAAATAAAATGAAATGCAGAAGATTTTCAGTGGAGATAGAAATTCAAACAAAGATGATCTTTGCTGTGTACATGTTTCTAAAGCATCAGCAGTAAAATGGCACCAACTTCTACATAATCAGAACAAGGGGATTCGAACACTCAAGCTCAGCCACACAGTGGATTTAGGAGCAGGGCATGTTCAGACCAGCTCTTCTGAAAGTCTTTGTTTAGACATAAATGAAAGGGGTCAATAGTTACAATCATCTTCTTTCCACTCTTTACATGTTAAATCACATTTTATGACCTTATTAATATAGAAACACCAAGACTGTGTATTCTTCTAAATATTTGTTTGTAATTGAGACATTTTGCATTAACAACCTTATTTCAAGTAGTGGGTATGTGTTTTTATTTTTGTTTTGGGTTACATATCAGATATTAATACTTTTTTTGCAACTCTAATTAAATTACAATATTGTTCATGGAAGCTTAATTTAGTTTTCCAAATGGATTATGCACTAAATAACCACAGGAAAATAGAACTCGTAAAAATTCCAACTGTTCCAATGAGAAGGCAAATTTGTGGGCCAATGTTTGCCAAACCAGTTTTAGAGCATGCAATCATTGCAGTGGGCAATGTCAATGTTTTTAGTAGAAAAATCAGAGAAAAGAAAATACCCAATTTATATTGACAAGAAAATACAACCTGGAGGGGAAGATACAAGGAAAGTGTGAGCAATCTATGGAATATTCTCTTACTTATGAGATTTATTTTATATTAATCCCCAAGGACAACATTATCCAGACAGAATAAAAAATAGAGGGTTTTGAGTTCACCGAGTGACCTTCATCCTGGAACACAGAACATATTAACTAAAAATCCAAACCAAGTCACAAGTGGACACAAACCATTCCTGAGTGTCTCTATACTGACCTCTCGATACACTACTGTATTCAGTGTATACAACAAAATTCAAATAGTGGTATATCTCTCTGCTAGATCTTCTACATTTTCAGAAATTTTGCAAAGAAGGTATTTCCAAAAGGAAATAAAATGGTTTGACATTCTTCAGTGTTCATGCTGGTAAGAGTGGGGTAGAAGTGAAATGTATATATCCTTCCTTTGTTAATTAATGCAAATGACTGTTTCTTAGATGGTTTTCTCAGTGTTATTTCTTATACTAAGTGATTTATACATTTAATTGAATTTGGTAAAATTCAGATGAAATTTTCTTCTATGAACTCCATATGTACTTTTAGAAAGAATGAGTGTAAGACACAATTTTTTTTTGGTAGATTTGTTCTATTTTTTCACACTAATATATCTAATAAGTCCTTATCTCCTCTATGTGTATATGCATAAAAAGGAAATATGAGAAACACTATGGTATAATCATTGAACTAAGGCTCCAGAAATATTCAGATTTTAGATCAGTTTCCTTTAATTTCCCCAAATTCTTAGTTAAACTGACCAACATTCTAAAACCTATTTTATCATCTTTAAGTAAACCTATTGCAGTAAGTTAGCTGTCACAAATTGGATTCCTTTGTTCATTCTTTCTATTTTTCAAACATAGCTTCAATTATGTAGGACCATCTTGGAGTCTTAAATTAGACCAAATCAAGTTAATACATGTTTGTAAATCACTATATTTAAGGTTGCATTATTTCAAATCCAATGGTTCCTTCCACCTGGAAACCCAGCAGCAAGTTGGGTTTGCTCAAAGAATGCCAGGAGGCAAGATATCACACTAATATTTCTATGTGTTTAGTTGTTAGAAAAGAATCTTTAATCCTAACAGTGGGGTGTTTTTCAACTCTAGTAAACATTTATGTGTATTTGTTTTGTCTTATTTTAGTCTCTCCAGATATTTTCTATTTGCTTTAAATCTCCCCAGACGAGCTTACACAGGGAAGAAATGATCAAATATGGTTGATCAGTCATTTTGAATGCACATTCAGGGAAAAGGGAAAACTTACAGCAAATATAGAGAAAGTGAATACCTAGGTACTTTACAACAGCCTTAGATGTCAGTACTCCTGAGGCATCTCTGAAGGGGCAGTTTGGGCATCCTCTTTGAATCCTTCCCCGTTAGAGTCCACATAGCCAAGCCAGAAGAAGCACACAGCCCACTTTACAAGAAAACACTGGTTCTTGGGCAGGAGATATTCTGTGACTGAGCCCCAGTTCAAAGGGCTGAAGTACTGAACTTGACAAATGCTCTTGGGCACCTCTTCAGGTACTGTGTCAAGAGCTAAAGAGAGAGAAGCTGGGCCTGTCCACTCCAGTGCTTATAGCCTAGGAGGAACTGTGGCGGCTACAGTCACATAGTGTGTCAAAAACTGCTCAGGTGTGTGCCCAGCACCTCAGGACTGAATGGGGCTCATGGAGAAATCAAAACCTGGGGTGCGCTTGAGTCTCTGTCCCAAATCCCTTTCTCACTACTTGCCGTATCTGTACCGGGTGCTCAGTAAATGCTAGCTTTCTCTCTGTCTCCTATCTCTAATATGTTCTTCACAAAATAAACACATATATTGCAAGAAATATGTAAAGAAATTGGTAAAATATTATTTATGAACTCCACAATGTGCCTAAGTTTTCTTAAATTTGGAAATATCAGCTTTCCTTATACCATATCAGAAAATGTTCCAAGACTGATAAGTCTTATGAACGACCTGAGCCTCAGTTTATCATATCACTATACCACAAAGTTTAAAAATCATCCTATATAGTTAAGCCAGTCAGTCTTCCTGCAGTTGGTCCACGTTTTCTCATTCCACTTTGTGTTCACCTCTAGTTCAATTCTTTTCTGGCCAATTTCTATAGATTTAGCAGGATCACTTGGGAGTTTTGATTTAGGAAGCTGAATAGTCCTTTAAACTTCTAATTAAATATCAACATAATCTTGTCACTATTAGAAAAAGGTACTCGAATGTCCATAAAGTCAAAAGATACCAGAAACTGTTCATGGTGGTACACACCTTCTCTGTTTTTAAACATAAAATATTCCCTCAGGGGACTAGTGATCCCTGTATTAACTGTGAACTAGCATTTGTGAGGATTAGAGGAAGTCCATACTCAAGTCCATCTCCACCAACTTCCTTCCTGCCCCCACCTCACCCTTTTTGCCATTTTCAATTTCCCTTGTTCAATCAGCACTCAGGCCAGCGAGCAACGATCTCAAGCATCTGAATTAAAGTGTAATTATGAACATGGAACCCCCCAATTTAAAACAGAACATGAGCATGGTTCCCACAGCTTTAGTGTTGAGAACCACTGGAGCAGTTTCAGAAGCAAATGCCAAAGGGATCTCACTGACCTGAGGAAATGTCAATCTGACTCATCTTGGTCTGCGTGACATTGATGTGGACGGCCACTTTGCTCTCTGTGAGGTCGATTTCCACGTTGCCCAAATTATCGGCAAAGTGACTGAAGAGCAGGAGACCATTGTGGTTCCAGGTCCTGAACTGGAAACTGACTGAAAACAGGTCCTGGTCAAGGCGTCCAGGTACCTCCAGGTAACTTGTAGCATTGAAAAAGACGGGTACCGTATAGGGCTCCACACAAGAGAAACTCAAATTTCCCTATAAAACAGAAAGGCATGTTACTGGGCAAATGCGTAATACAATAAAAATCCATGTAAGACTTGGCAAAGGCATAGTTCTACAAACCCTATAGTCTGAATCTGAGCCAACCTGAACAAGGAGCATGGCTGGATGCACCCTTCTAAATCTCCCTGAGCATAAGACCTAGCATTCAGTAGCAAGTGGCCATTGGCTCTATGGTAGAGGCAGCGATAAGCACCGCCTATGATGAGACTGACAGCCTGATGTGATGGGCTGACCTCAGGATGCAGTGTGTATACCTGGGTCATGGACTTCATTGTGGACACTGGACCTTCCAAAGACAGCAATACTGCTGATACAACAGAGATCATCAGAATGTGCCTGCCATCTTCTTTATGGTCAATATCAATGGTCATTAATAGACAACTTAGTCTGGTCTCTATGGGAACTATGCTTATTTGTTTGCTATATATTAATTTGATATTTGCAGGCAAATATCCTCAGGTTTTATCTACATATATGAATTAGTATTAATTGTTTAACATCTGTATAGTTATGATTATTTTGTTACCAATTCAAAAAGTCCACTTAAATTCACATGATGTGTGTTTATATCACAATGCATTCTTTATAGAACTATTGTATAAATGTACTTCGGTATAAAAGACAATTAATTTACCATTTAGATGCACAGAATTTTATATTCCAGTGCCGAGTACCTTTTATTTAAAAGTCTGGAAATACACATATGGTTCTGATTTTGTTATACTACCATATTATTTTAAGGAAAGTAATTTGATAACATTTTCATCAGCTCTCTCTCTCTCTCTCTCTCTCTCTCTCTCTCTCTCTCTCTCTCTGTCTTCCTCTCAATACCACATATATACCCCAGATGCCTGGTCATTACATTTTAGCACATTAACCACTAAATCTAAGGTCGGTTGTCTTTCTGAATTAATATTCAAATTAAATTTGCTCTGTACCTTCAAAAATGATTGTTTTTAAATGCTTGCTTTTCTATGCAAGCATTTTTCACTTTGCCTATGCATAACAAATGAGATGTTATAATTGCCCACACACCTATGCTGTGGGGATTGCCTCTCAGGAAATGTAAAGATCCTTCCTAACAGTGCTGACTCTGGGCTTGGTATACAATGAGGAAACCAGTGTGTTGAGAGAAGAAGTTGAATGAGTGCTGAGTCAATTTCATTGAAATATCAGCACCTGACATCATTGCAAACAATTTCTCATATAAATATTTGCCTTTGTAGGGTTCATTGAAAATGTGCTATTTGTCTCCACCCTACCTAAAATTTTCAATATGCATATATATTTTGATCTGAATGTTTATTCTATGTCCGTTCATGCAATTTTTTGTTAAAATAGAATATATTTGTAGATTGTTTGTATTTTATAAAATATTTGTGCTATTCTGGCTTGAAAGAAAATTTATAATTGCAACATATTTCACTGTTAAAGTTAATTTTGGAATGAGACTCTGTGGAACAATTCTCTGTAGTTTGGGTACTGAATGGGAACACCCAAATACCAAAGAGGTTTGGACAGAAATAACATTTGACTCTTCTTAAAGGTACAAATAACGAAAACAGCATGCTGATGATTTGGATTTTACACCTTTCCAGTTTGACCAATGCTTCCTACAGAAACAAAAAGACTCTGGTGCTGTTTTATTCAAAACTTAAAATAGCATGTATGGCCAGGAACAGTGGAACATGTCTGCAATCCCAGCAACTAGGGATATTCATTTGTTCAATCACTGTGGGCACCATAACCTCCCATGGTGGGTGACAAGGCCCTCAGAGTTCTTTCAGGGCACAGTGTAAACACTCATGATATCATCTCTTTCCATGGCTCTCAAATGTGGGGGGTGTCTAGCTTCTAGGCTTCCCATATGACAGTTCTGTGTTGAAGTAGATCCTGGCATTGCAGAACCAGGGCTAACCCCCCATACTCAATGTTTAAGCTAACATCTTTCAGGGATCTTCAGCAGGGCCATAGACAGGCAGGTATGCTGAGATGGTGTCTGATTTTTGTTCTTCTTCCTAGAATCTAGTGAAACCTGGAACCAACTCACTCATGAGCCAGAAGAAAGCTGCTAATCTGCTCCTGTGGCCCAGCTTTTGATATCCAAGGGTAATGGAACTTTAATTGCATGACATTTATTATGGTTACAGCATTGACAAGAAGGGTATTTATTTACCTATTTGAACAAACCTTCAAAAGTACAAAACTTAATATATTAAAGTTCCTGGTTTAAGGCCATTAAAATGTTGAATGAAACCCTATGGGAGAAACAAGGCCCTTTATACCCAGACATCTAAGAACACAGTGCTGCCAATCAAGGGCTGCTGACCTGTCAGGAGAACACTCCTGCTGAAGGACTTTTGCTCTCCTGCCATGGATCCAAAAGCACCATCCCTGCTGTTCTCTGCTCCCACTGAACAAATGCTACCTATAGTTCAGATTAGTTTAAGCCAAAAGCCATTATCTATTCTGAGTATGGCAAGTGCCTACACAATTTCAGCTAACTTTAATATTTTTGATACTGTTGAACCCAACACAAACTTGATAAAAAAATACTATGAGTTGGTGTTGGCTGTTCAGTACTTCACTAAAAAATGTTCTCTTTTTAGGGACCAGTATTTTGGGGGGTGCAAATGCTTACCACGTTTGATGGCTCTAATTTCTTCCTTCTGGCAAGATCAGTAATGTTGATGCCATTGTAGTTAATGCTTTCCATGCAGCCTTTAAAATTCTTTCTACTACTGGAACTTGGCTTTCCAGAGAAAGGAATGCCTCCAAAAGTTATCTTTAAGAAAAAAAAATTAAATGTAAATATTTTTACCATATTGCAATAAACCAGAAAAATTATGAGTACAAAGTCAGGTATCTTTATCTCAATCAAAACATACAAGCATTGAAATGTTTTCCTACCAAATCTTTTGCTTATTACATTATGTTGTTATTGAAGTGCATAATGGAATTCGTTAATTCTGATAATTAGATTATAACTTGGAAAATAAAGTAGCAACAACATCTTGCATTTTTGTAACCCCCAAAGGCATTTTATAAAGTTTCCTAGCATTGTTTCAAAAGATTTTATCTACCTAACTTCTTTTATCAAGTAATATTAAAAATATATTTTTCATGTTTATCATTCAAAGACATATTGTCAATAAATGCTTCTAGTCATCTTGAGATAACTAACACTAACATAATAAGCTGATAAAACTGCAGCCCAAAGGAAGGAATATTGTATTTACTCTCTGTAGATTTACTGTAGTCTAATGATGGAAAGAGTCATAAGTTCATTGGACATATCTTGAGTATAGATCAGAGTTCTACAAATATCATTAGTATATTTACTAGGGACTTGGAATTTGGGGGCTGTAAGTTGAACTGTATAGGCATAAAGATATTCCAAATTCATAAAATCTTCAAAATTCTAAGGAATAAGGCCAATACCTCTTAATATGTTCCTTTGGGCACTATTATTGCTTATAGAAGGAGATGTGTAATTTTCATGTATATTTGGTCTATTTACAGCATTAAATACATGCAATACAAAGTGAGACTTAATATCTGTACTGCCAGGAAGGACATATACTATTAATAGTGTATTAGAAAATAAATCCCAGTACTAATCATAGTTGTATTATCAAGACACATAATCCAGATGGTTATTTATCTTATAATTATTTTTATCAGTGTTATCATTATCATTTTTTTCTGTCATTTCTGTAAGTAAAAACAACAGTAGAGACATTTTTAAAGTCAAGATTTCATATCTGAAACGTAAGGCAAAATGTCTTTTGTGTTCTAGAAGAGTTGTAGTAAGTCCAATTTGGTGTCTTGGCATTTTGAATACTTAATTAGTTTTAAGGAAAAAATCAAATTAATGATAGTTTCTGAAGCAGTGTTCAGAAAAACCTCACTTAAAATTATTAATTATTGTTAGTTGACTTTGGGTCATTTGCCCCAGAATCCTTAGGTAGGATGAGAAGGAGAAAGCTGAGCAAAAGTGAAAACATATAGAAAAGAGTAAGGAAACTATAAAAAGAGAAACACAAAGTAATCTAAAGTGGTAAAATTATTGGGAAGATACTTTCCAGGTGCACCAAAAGGACCCTATTAGGTCCTATGAACTTGTACATGACATCAATGGTAATAACTGCAGATACTAAAATGGAGTGCTATATTTCCTGTCTGCAACTTGTTCTATCGATTCTTCCAGAATGGGCAGTTTTAAAATCTGTGTTTGATGACACATAGCTTCGTGTTTTAATAATATTACTAAATACTGGTTTAAATTATTGTTTTACTCCTCGGTATACATGGTTTCTTTACTCAAAGGCATCTTTTTGCCTTAGGGATAATGATTCAAAGTTCCTTATGGTTTTTCTGCTTTCAACAACCATAGGCACATGCCCTACCCGAAGGAAGGCACCAGCTGAAGTATCACTGCCTCAAGTTAACAGATTCCTAAAATTGAGTAGGTTCTAATCCCAATTCCTTATGTAATAATAATGTAACATTAGGTTGTCATTATTTCTAGTTATGTATTTTTGCAACTGGACCACAGAGTACTTCCATACATTCTAATTATTCTGATAGTAAAAAATTGTGGTGTTTGTCAGAATAACAATCATGTTTTTCTGTCTCTTATAGTAGTCTTATGAATGAGATCACCATCCAATAACCTTGCTTCTAAAGATATTACTGCATTTACAATTTTATTAGCTACAAAGTATAAAGTATAGTACAGACTACTAGATACATCTAAGTATGTTTTGTCCCACTGTCTTTAGGGAAAATAATGATTTTCAGTTGGGTACGTTGCTTCCAAGTCAACAGACAACACTTATCAACCTGTTCGAAGATTTGAAGCATACATACACAAACGTATTTCTTTCTATAATTTTCTGTTGCCTCCTCAGTTAACCCTAGGAGACATATGCTATTATATTCATCTTATGGTAGGGGAATGTGAGTTACACCATCACAGACCAGTGAGATCAGAGAGGGATTGAGCCCAGGCTTCTGGTCCTATGTGAGCCTATGTCATTGATTTTCTCTATAATCCTATCCAGTTAGTTAGCCATTCTTCAGTGGACAGTAGCCATCTCTTCCCTCCTTCCAAGCACAACTACATTGCAAAGGACAAAGATTTAATATCCACGGTGGGCATGTCCTGGTGTTCAACTGAAAAGCAGACAAAGTCCAGGCCAAACTCCAGTTTACCATCCCACCCTTTGGTTTCACTGGCTCAGAGGAGGAAAAATGGCACAAAGCACATTTCCATAGCTCCATACCCACAGCTCCATACCCACCCCAGGCCACCATGTTGCCAGTAGCTTGTAAGCAAACGGCACCTGACCCACTTCAGGATACAATACAGCAGCAGACAGGGAGGAAGGAGGGGAATTCAGATGCTCTTCCACAAGACCTCTTCCTCACAGAGTCACGTGAGGTGCAAAGAGGCTCATTATGCCTTTTTAAGGATGTGCCCCTCTGGTGATGGTGACAGGTGATGTATATTCTACCCCTGACATGGATCCTCCTCAGAGTGGTTCAGGAGAACTGATTTCAAACAGAGTCATCATTAGAGTTGAATTATGTAAAGTTAAACCAAAGAGATTACACTAAATAGAAAATTAATGTCTCCTCAGAATTCATGTCTACATTTTACAGTCATGTACGTTTTTGAGATTACGTATGCTTATTTACCTATATGATGCAAATATTGTATAAGAGTGTGCTAATGGGAACCTCTTTCCAACTCCCTGTTCCGTGCTATCAAGTTGCTAACATGATATCAATGACGACGGGGTATATCCCCTATAAAAATCAGGAAATTCCAAAAAACAAACAAAAAACCCCCAAACCAGTGCATTCTTCTCCTTCCTCCCTAGAGGGAGCCTGTTGTGAGGTGTTTACCAGTGCACCCTCATCTTTAAGCCTCAATGCCCTTGGCCTCAGACCTTTGGCCAAGAAGGTCCTTAGCCTTCTTATGGAAGAACTGAAACTATGGAATTTCAGGGAAGCAGGACATTTCCAGGTTTTGTGAAGATAAGATCAGGTTTCTGATCCTTTAGGCTAGACTTCAAATACTTCAGGAGAAGCATTATAGGATTCATACTAGTTTAGGTTTGCAGCTAATTTTCATGCGGCCTATGTAGACATGAGACTGGTTTCTATGTGGATGCATCCAGGAGATGTGTGTGACAATACAGGGAGATTGACTTCAGCGTAGTACCTAGACTCTCTTAAACAAATAAGCAAAATGAGTCTCTTCATATTAAGATAAATGTATATAAATAAAAAGGTAAGTTCAACTACTTTTACTACAGAGAATGCCAATAACAGCAGTGTCTAAGAGGAAAGTTACCAGGCAGTAGCTTTACAAAGAGACAAATGTTGGTCTATCCTAACTTTTTCTCGGTAAATGTAAATTTCTCCCTACTGTCTCTTCCTAATGAATACATTCCAGAGATCGTTAACCATGGCTGAGGTTTCCGAACGTGGTTCGGTGCATAGACGGAATTCAAAGCACCCATGAAATTGTTGACCCTGCATAGAAGGTGTTGTGTGTGTATAAATATTCATTGACTTCATCACAAACTCAATAAGGTCAATAACCCCCAATTTTTAATTCTGTTTTTTGAAAATTGGAGTTATGTTTGCCCATTGCAAATGTTCTAGGATTTCCCACCTTCTCTGAAGTTCTTCAAAGTTTATTAATGGAGGATGAATAATTCATCTCCAAGTTCTCTCACACCTTGGGAGACAAGTTACAAGGAGCCAAACTTTAAAGCAATTTAAAGAATATAAAAATTTCTGGGATTTTCACATTATCTTCCTTCCATTAATCATCTTGCTTTGAAGACATTTTGGGGGGACAGTAAGATAATTATTTACCAATGACCTTAAATTTATTTAATGTTAACATAGTATCCATCAGGTTTTATGTAGTATATTCTAGTCTAAATTTCTATTTAGGAATGAATATATATTTTATCAAATATATTAATATATTAAATATATTAATATTTAAATATATTCATATGACACAGAATTTAGAAACTGAACATATAAGTAAAAATCCATCATAAATTTTAACTTTTTCACGTCGTTGTATATTGAGCATATTCCACATTCTTAGAAATTTATATGTAGATGTATATAATACGCACAGATGTATATATCTGTGATCCCAAAGCTAGGGCCAAGAACTCAAAGCCGATCAGTATTGGCATACTTTACAATTTTACAGGAACAAGAACAGTGGAACTCTCTAGGACCTGGTGATAAGCACCAGTTCAGAGGCTGCCTCTCCAGGATCTGACCATGGTGACCTCCTTATGGGGACCTCCTGTCTTTGTGGAGTTGGGTTTATGGTCATTCCTCTCAGAAAAAGATATTATATAAAGAAAAAAAAATGAACTAGAAAAAGAGGATGGAAATGTCAAATTTCATCCCAAAGTCTGAGATGTCCCAGGGTGAATTCACTCATCCCATTAATTAGTGATTACTGTTATCTAAGATTGAAATAAAATATATTTAGAGTTTTGCAAATGGGTGCCTGATAGCCTAGGGCTTCTATGGAAAACTTACTAAGACACTAACGGCTCCAGGAATTAAGAATGATTGGAAACCACTGGGATGAAGAGTATTTCATTCTTTTAATATTACTACTATGTTGCTTTTTAATATTAAGTGTTAATCAGTTTTTCCTATTACATATAAAATTATGATGAGTATCTTCTTAAAGAATTTTTATCCCTATGTATTATTAACAGTTTTGGTGAATATTCTAAGGTTGAAATTGCTCTCCAAATAATTTATTAAAAAACCTGCTACGCCTACTAAAATATTATGAGGATATATATATAGAGAGAGAGATAGATATATATATATCATATCAGTACTGATTAATGTTTAATACACAATATCTTTACTTTATTTATTGAATTTATTTTTATGTGATCCAATCCAGTGTTTCATGCATACAAGGGAAGTGCTCTACCATTGAGCTATAACTCCAGCTCACTAAGTGCTTTTTAGTTATTAGAAGGTAAAATATGTCTTTTTGTTTGTAGACAAGGTCTTTAAAATATTCTATATTTTATTTCAATTATTTTATGGTAACTATATTTGAGAAAATAGAACTTATCAAAAGACCTTTCTATCCTTATAAATTTATAAATATTTAAATTTATAAATTTATAAATATTTATAAATATTACACAGAAAGGAGAATTTCTTATCCAGTATTTTACAAAATATATTAGATAGTGCTTTATATATAATGCACAGCACATTCTCAAGAGGAGTCGATGCATAACTAATTACCAATTATGGTCATTTGAATATTGAGAGGACCTGGTAGAAGGAAGCTTGGTCCGCACAGTGGCAGTATCAGAAAGTAGTGTGGACCTTTAAGAGGCCGGGCCTGCAGGAGCTACTTAGTTCTTGGAGGTGTGTCCTCAGAGAGGATTGTAGGACTCTAGTTCTTTCTTTCTCTGCTTTGGTTCAAGATTTGACTGTTCCTACATATTCTCCTTCCATGATGTGCTACTATTTGCCACCATCACCAGAGGCCAAACCAACATTGCCCACTTGATCTTGGACTTAAAAACTCCAAAACTATGAACTAAATAAACCTTTTCTAAGAACATCGATGCCTCAGGTACTTTGTTATAGTAACGCAAAGCAGACTAATACACCAGTAGAAAGATTACAAGTGTAATCTGAACTTACCATATGGCCCTAATGGCATGGCCCTTCTCTTTAAATTATTACTTTGTTATTAAAATTTTTAAAATATTTAAAATTCTCAGGATTGGACATTTAGAATTACACAAAATGAAATATATGTTTAATTTATGTTTTAAACATGAAATTTCCTTTTTGTTTTTTGGAGAAGAAAATGAAAACCATGTATAGGCATGTGAGTGACACTAGTACAACAGTGCAGTGGTGACCGAGGCTCACTCGCAGTCGCCAGTGTTCACTCACGTCACTTGCATACCTCGTAGTCCAAGTCCAGATAGTCGAACTCCCCGTTGGTGCGGAAGTGCTGCACACTCCTGTCCAGCGTGAGGTTGATGCTCCGTCCCTGGCGCTCGATGACCACAGAGTGCCAGTGGTGATCATCCAACAGGGTTCCCGTCATCACAGATGTGTGGCCATAGATGGGGCCCAGCTGGTTGCTTCCTGAGTCACCAGGAGAAAAAGAAACAATAGGTGGCTGCAGGGCCCACTCGGGGTCGGGTGGGTCTTTCCTTTCCAACACCCAGCCAGGCTGAGGATCGTCAGAGCTGCCTCCATTAGAGGCAGACCAGGCGAACTAGTAGGTAACTGGAGCTAAAAAGACTCTTACAAAGTACAGGAAAGATCCCAGTGAGTTGGGAGGCTGAAGCAGGAGATGCTCAAGTTGGAGGCCAGCCTCTACTTGAAAATACCCTGTCTCTAAATAAAAATTTACAAAGGGCCAGGGGTATAGATTAGCATCTCTGAGTTTACTCCCCAGTACCAAATACATGAAGGTTATCAAGATGAAATTCTTTCTTTTCCCTTAAAAATTAGTATATTTTATAGTGCCATAATTTCTGCTAATTTTTGGTAGATTCCTTAGGAAGTAAGTATCACAGGGGGTTCTGGAGCCACAGGGTCTGGGGTCTGATGCTGCCTCTACATGAGCTTGATGCCTGAGCCAGGTCTTGGGAGTCTGTTTCCTCAGGTGTGAAATAGGGGGAAGAATCCTCATCATTTCTTCATTCATGAAGAGGAAATCAAATGTTGAGGCATGATGGTGAGTGAGTGTGTGTGTGTGTGTGTGTGTGTATGTGTAAGAGAGAAAGATGAGGAGAGACAGGCAGTGGGGCCGGGCTGGAAGGAGGGGAGGAGGAGAGGAGCACACATCTGAGTGGCCAGGCTCCCTTGAGTTTTCCTGCTTTGAACACACTGGAAGCTGAGCCGCAGGAAGCCCTGCCTGATGTTGACCGAACGGCATTAAAGGGGACATGAGATGTTTGAGTGGCAATATTTCTAAGACTGTCATAAAGTCTGTTCAGTCACAAAAACTCTAAGTAAACTGCTTCCCGGTGAAAAAGCAATGAACTTTGTGTGTGTTGGGGGCAGGGGTGGTATAACCATTTCCTGGTTTCAGAAAGGTGAGGTCACACCTCCACACACCACAGTGGGCTTTGAAAGGCCACTCCAGGTGTTTGCCTGGGTGTTTAGATATAATCCTCTGCTGCCTGGGTGTGCACATGTTCACGGCTTCCCTCAATCCCTCCCTCCTTCCTTCTACAGAGTCCTGTTTTAAAGATGACCTCAGGCTGTTTTACTCAGGTAACACAGAAAATGAATACCTGTTCATTACCACAAGCAGACAATACTAAGAAAAATCAACAAATAAACTAAGAAAAGATTATATATTCCACCACTAAAAATGGTTTGGTGTATTTCCTTCCAGATTTTTATATGAATACATCCTTCTCATTATATACATATATGCATATATGTGTGTTTGTATGTATGTGTTTATGTATATGAAATTCATACATATAAATATTTAGGTTTATATATGCACATTTAAGGCAACAGTATTGACACCCATGTTATTTACATGCTATGGATCATTATGTAGTATTTCCCCATACAATTAAAAATTAGCATAGACTTGTCAGATGTTACCAACATATTTCTTCTACTCATGTAACAATTTTCAATTTTTTACATTGTAATTAATATTTAAAAAGTTCATCTTTGGACTTAAATTCTCTGTAAGCATTTCTCAGTTTTCCCTTAGGATTATTGGAAAACATACACAAGCTATTTTAAATATCTGCAGATACACTGCTTAGTCATTTTCCCAAGAACATCATCTTAATTAAAGAATGATAAAAAGTATATTTTCTTACATATTCAACAGCACTTATTTCATCATTTCAAGACTTGGAAAAAATTAGTAACTTGTTATTTTATGGTGCATTTTTTATAGCTAGTGTGTGGTTGAGAATTTGGTGTTTATAGGTGGTTTACATTCTTTTTTAATGAGTTGACTTTCATATCCTGTGCCTACCTTTCTTCTAACATCTTGGTATTATTTAGGAATGATGATTTTTTTGTTTAATGATTTATTATTTAATGAATGACATTAAATTTCTATATTTAATACCTGCATTTTCCTAAATTTCACATGCACTTGACATTTTGATTACTAATGTAAAGTAACATTTTATAATTAAGTAATAAAGTTCTTTTGTGAATTTTTCCTATCTTCCTTTTCTTATAGAAACTATTATTTTGATAAGATCAGATTTTGAATGTGAAAAGTTCTATAATAAATAATAAATGTTTAAGATAATGTATCATTACCTACATTAAAAACTAAAGTTGATTGCCAACATGGTGAATTATTTTTCTAGCTTTTAGTATAATTCTGATTTTCAAAGTAATATAAGTTAGTACACAGCTTGCAAGCCATATTCAGGAATGTTGGAACACTCAGTTGATAATTGGTAAGAAAGTCAAATAGGCAGCGTCTCTTTGGGTATTCTAATCTTCAGTGTTGTAGCTTTCCACTGTGATTCGTTCAACATGTAATCTTTAGTTATTTATGTATTTTAAGGTATAAAATCTTTCTAGAATTTTTATAGCATTACAAGAGAAAACTTCAGGGGAATGCATGGTACCTTGAAAACACCCTTTCATAAAACCTGCAGATTTTAGCCAAGCAAAAAAGGTACCATTGCTTTTTATGAGTTGTAATTTCCATGCCAGGACCAACATTGTGGAATTCTTCTTTAGCTTTAAGTAAAACCTAGCCACATTACCAACACACAAACACGCACTGGTGGTATCATCCATTTACAAGCAATAGAAACTCTAAACAAACAGAAACTCACTTGAGTTACCTTTCCCTCCAAACAAATTATTTCTGTAGTTTAACTAGAATCCAATTTGAACAGTTTTACTATATTCAAAATATTTATTTTTACTTATTTCATGTTTTTTACCTACAAAATCAGTCAATAAAACCATCCTTTCTGTTCCTCTGAGAGTAAATTGACTATAATCTCCATGCTGTCAAAACTAATATTCATTTCTCAGTCTTGATCTTAATGTGAGAATTCGCCATCATGGGTCACTTCCTTTCCTTCCTTGGTCTCTGTGATAACAATGCATTCTTTATTTCCTGCCCTCAGTGTCTACTTGTTCTGGATTATAGTACCTGCCCTCTCAGTGCCATGCATGCAGTTCTATAATAGAAACCCCTGTATATGTGAGAGGCTACTCAAATGCACCAGGTTCAAAAGGACTTTAGAGTTTCTCCTAAATAGTTTTCCTGTTTTGAAAAGTGACACTGACATCTATTTAGTGCTCTAGTCCAAATCCCAGGAATTGCTCTTACTCTCTGCTCTTTTCTTCTTATGTAATACCCATCTCATCACAATGACCCTTGAATTGATCTATATCCTGGTTTTCCTAACACACATTTCCCTGCATCTCCACTGATAACTAACTCATGCAAGTTGATGCTGTCTTTCCCCTGAACTATGCAGAAGTTTTACTTTGACTCTCATGCCAGCATAAGCAAATATTTCACAGAAGTCCCAGTGCACTTTTGAAATTATGATTATAATGCCATAGAGTTTGAGGACTCCCAATAGATATCGATTTTAAAAATAATATCCAGACAGGTACGGTGGCACACGTCTGAAATCCCAGCAGCTCAGGAGGCTAAAGCAGGAGGATTTCAAGTTCAAAGCCAGGCTCAGCAAAAGCAAGGCAGTAAGCAACTCACTGAGACTCTGTCTCTAGATAAAATACAAATTAGGACTGGGAATGTGGCTCAGTGGTTGAGTGTCCTAAGTTCAATCCCAGTACCTCCACCCCTCAAAATAATAATAATATCTAGAGCCTCCACCATGCCCTGAAGCATCCCACAGGACTTGAACAGTTCCCATCCCTTCATCTCCTATCTCAATAACTCACAACATTCGTCTACACTGGCCTCCTTCCTGTTCCTTGATCATGAAGCTCTTTGCCTACAAGGATCCCTTCCTATGAAGTCCTTTTCCCCTTGAAGTCTTTATGATTAGTTCTTCATTTCCATCGCTCAGCTCTGAGTTTGAGTATTACATTTTCTCCTAAGAGAGAAATTTCCTTATTACACATTCCATTGAAGGCCCCGTTGCTTCAGAAAGGGCATGTAAGTCTCCGCCCTTATCATATTCACCTCTTTAACTGATTTTATAATGCTTATTTGATATGGGGCCCATGTTTTTGACTCCGAGGAACACTAGCATCTTCTCCCACACTGAGTTAGAAAAGCAACTATCTATCCATACTGTATGTACAGCAATAAATACTTACATTTATTTTTGTATGTTTTATAATAAAAGCAATAATATGTAATATATTATTTAATTCCTGTATGGGTCATAAACTTCATAAGCTTAAGGACCTTGTGTCTCCATTGCAATGCATGCAGTTGGCTGTATCCTTTGTATAGTAGAAATGCATAATAAATATTTTTTAATGTAATACATCTATCCATATACACCAACCACTATGGATCAAGAATGAATTAATGACATAGTGGGGACTCTATTACAATTTACATTTTAAAGGGTCAAGTAAGCAACCGCTGCTCGTGGGAGTTTTAATGCACAGAAATAATGGTACCAGGCATCAAAACCAACCTAGGTTTAAACTGAGGACCAGCTTGGCTTTCTTCAGTTCCAAAGTGATGTAGTCCCCTTGCTGTCCTTCTCCGTGCAGGATGACCCCTTCACTTTCAGAGGTTTTAAACTTCAAGGCGATGACGTCCTTCAGCGTTTTCATCTTCTTGTTTCTGAATCTGTATGGTAACACGACGTGGCCATCGAAGTTGATGACATCAGCCCCTAGGAGAAGGAAAAAGAGCACGTTAGTGTGGCTGTGGGCAGAATCAGCGTCAGGGGGGCGGCCTGGGGCGTCTTTGCTGAGGGGCTGGGGTCCTGGGCAAGGCCTGTTGTCACTCTTGTGATCTACTGTGTGTTCCAACGTGGATTCCATCGGGAGAGTGCATACAGAATGATCAGAAAAGCCACTTCAGTTATGATATTGATCATGAAAACTCATAATGGGTTATAAACTTCAAAAGTTAACTTGGGGATGTAGAGTTTTGTCCAACAAAGTGCTTTTTTTTTTCTTGTTTTGTTTTTGTCTCTAAGAGATTAGGAGATTTCATGGTTCATTCCTCAGGGACAATAATTTTTCATGATTTATAAATACATGTTCTACTAGACTTTGTTCCACTTTTTGGACATGAGAATGGATAGGGTTGGATGGTCAACTCAGGTTTTCTCATGGTTTTTGTGTTTCACCACATTCGTAGTGAATTTGTAGTATTCAGAGTTTTTAATTAATTGAATTTTAGAAAGCTTCTTAACATTTGCTGTTGGGCATCCTTTCTGGAATTCCTTATTAGATCCTTGCATTTGGAATCAAGAGTTTGGGGCGCGGTTCCACTCCAGTGAACACAGGCATCCTCGCTTTCCGTTGAGGAAAACAGTCTTCTGTTCTCTGAGACTATGAATCACAGAAGTTTATTTTAATAGGGGGAGGGGGAGTCAACCATTAAATTTGGCTTCTGCTAACACTGCAAAGCCAATTAGACTTTCTCTTAATCATCTAGACTGTCATAGCTGAATTCTAATGGCAATATCTTTATCTTCTGTGATGAGAGATAAAGGAGAGAAGGAATGGAATCTGATTTTCATATCCTAGGGTGAATTTATAATCCAGCAGTTGGGAGAAAATTCTTTTTGTTTTGAAAAATGAATAAACAAAATTCAGAAGGGAGTCAATTCTGATCTCTAGAAAGTAATTTTGCGGTCAACTTCATATCATTGACAGCCGAGTAATAAGCACATCATTGTTTTATACACTTTCAATATATATTAATTGACATAAAATATTCTCTTTCAACTCTCAGGAAGTAAATGTTGCTAGAGTTTAGAAGAAAGCATTCAGTTCCAGGTACATCAATATTTATGCAAATAATGATGCCTTTCTACCTCACTTTTAGTGAAATGAGAAAATGTGACAGAAAGAATGAGTATGGTTAATTTTTTCCGACATTCCTAATATTATTTAATAAAATTATGAAGAAAAGCTATCTGTGAAGACGAAGTCTCATTTCATCAATGCCAAGTAGTCCTCAGTGCATGCTAGGAAACAGATCAGATGCTTTGCAAGTCACATTTCACACATTGCTAATCAGAGTTTTTCTATGAATGGGTTAAATGCTTCCAAAATATCAGCATGTTTGCTTGCATGTGTGACTCAGAGCTAGCTCAAAAATGATAAAATTCCTTGAGATAATCTATATTGTATAATTTACACTTAGACCCATACCATACACTTTAAAAAGAGACACAGATAGTGTGAATTAGTGGAAATAACATCAGAGTTTAGTTGTGTTTTCTACAAAAATACATTAAAATTTCATTTGACATCTAATAGTATGTTGTGCTTACTTTAGGACAAGCCACTTTCCCCCCCTATTATCCTGATTACTTCTCGCTCCCTAGAATTAAGTTTTCTATACAGTGATTAAACATGTGTGGTTGAACTGTTTAAGCAATCGGAGGAACAATAATGGCTAGTCAAAAATTGAATGCAAAATCATAGTGTTTCCACAATTTTTGCTTCTAACAATATGTTAGAGAACTGGAAATGGGCCTAATTCATCAAATTGTCTTGGTAGAGGAGGGCTTTTAAAATAATTCATGTTAATCTTTATAGTCTCAGTTTGGATAAGATATTTTAAAGATGTGAGCAGCATGTAAGGATGTAAAAATTTTAAAAATAACTTTTTTATATTTGTATGTTTGTCTAAGACTGAATCAGTTAAAAATGATGGAATGAATTCTTGCCTCAATCCACAAACCCAAAAATATTATCTGTATTACCATTGTTTAAAGGTTGTCCAAAACTTACTATGTTTATTTTATAAAGAAATCAAATAATATAAAAGTGTTGAAAATAGGGAATTAGATCCACAAGAGATCACCAATGTTAATGAGTAATAGGTTTTGTGTAGCCTAGATTCTGTACATTTTACCTATCAATCTATCCATCTATGTGAAGTACAGAATAATATATATATATATATATATATATATATATATATATATATATATATAATTTTGTATACATTCAGATATACAATGATTATATCACATGCATATTATATTATTGTGTATAAGCACATATATACATATGTGTATATATGAGTTTATATTTTATATATAAATGTCTAAAGATACATATTTAACATAATTTGGGCAAGTAAATATAAAGTCACCTCAAAAGTTTGAAATGCATCTCTGAAACTAATGTGTAAAAACAGAAGGTAGAATTTGCCTAGTTTTTCAAACTTTACATGAATGTGAATCCACGTATTACTTTTAAGCCATATGTCAATATTTTAGATACATTGACCATTGTTTATGATACAGTGTGACTGCTATCTCCATTCTCTCCCTCCTCAGTCAGCTCTCTTCCTTCACACAGCACTGAACTCCACCTGATATACTGGCACGTTTATGAGTTCACCACAAATCCCCTCTAAGAATGAATGCATTGGACACTTTATTTAGCTCATCTTGAAGCCCACTACCTAAAATGATGCTTCAAACAATGTTCATTGAATATTTGTTGAAGGATAGAATGCTATCTTTCATATTGTAATAAACTGGATGAAGTTATAATAAACACTATCACATATTTTCATTAAACATTTGGCACTAGATTGGAAGAAGTTTTTAGAATCACTCTGATTTTCCTTGGTGCCACAATTACACATATGCCCAATGTTTCCACAGTCAGGAAAACAATGATATTATCAGATAATGTTTTTGGGTTTGTGGTTTGGGGCAAAAAATCATTCCATCATTTTTAACTGATTCTGTCCTAGACAGACATACACAAGGATAGAGTCCTTCTTGTTCTTTCTGTATGTAACTGGATCTCATTTCTTCCTTGTAATTTATTGACTTTTCTTTTGACTTGTCTGTGGTTTAAACCTAAATAAAAAGTTAAAATAGATCACTTAACTACATCCTTTGAAAAATGGCCTAGAGATAGACTAAAACATCATGTTTACTTTGGCAAAGAAGAAACTAAACAAAATCCTCAAAGATTTTTTTTTTTTTTTTTTTTTTTTTGCGAAGACCAACATCTAACATTTTCTACAGTCTCTTTCCTGAAAACGTGCTCCTTTGCCACTAAGTGCTTGGTATCTCATGGTACAGCAGCAGTATCAGAGGACTCTGACTGCCTCTCTCCATAACCTTTCGACTCCCACCCAAGCCCGAGACACTGATACCCATGGATATTCCATTGGTGTATTTATCTCCTAGCCCAATTCTTAATTGTTTCTCTGGGCCTTGTTTCTCTTGTCCTCTTATCCAAAATTTAGTCACTCAAGCCAGAGTTTGGCCACTTTCTTGAGCTCCTCTTTCTCTCGCCCACCTACACTCAGCACTTCCAAGTCCTAGAGACTTTAGCCCTGCCACATTTTTTTGAACTCACTTTTATGTGTCCTACCACCTGGTTGCTGTCACCTCTCATGTGGCCCATTGTTCTAACAAACTTAAATGAATGATTCCCATCCTCCATGCTGATTTCCCTCCATCTGTTCTCTCCAGAGAACAGCTTTCTGAAATAAACTCTTTGGCGAGAAGACACAATCCCAGCTCTGCCAGGTAGCCTACAACACCTTCAATGCTATCTCCTGGTTAAATTCCAGGCGTCTTCAAAGCCCCGGGGAAGCTTCCCCCACCCGCAAGCTTCCCTGGGCAAAGCTGCCTTGCCTCCTGTCCCATGGCACCCTGGTACCTTGTCACCCCACTCCCCAGGCTATAGTGACATTACCCTTTAGGGGCCTCATTTTCTCTGTGGACTTTAAGTTCTTCTAAGGTACAGACTTTGGATTGTTCTACTTTGCCTTCTTGGCACAACAAATCCTTCTTCAATTGATCTAAACACGATGGGTATTTGAAATAACAAGGCGAAAAGGAGAAGTTCTTATTTCCCTGCAATATCATACCTGGTGCCAGAAAATTTACTAAGGGCACAGACTTATACATTATTTAATGATATGTACTTATCTAACTATTGTAATTGTGGTTATCTGATATGAAGAAATAGTTAAAACATGAAATGCTATTAATATGCTCATTGTAGAGCTATTTGTTTATAACTCAAAAGCTAGAAAATTTACCAGCTACATGAGTTTAAATGCAATATATATGTACTATAGATATGTACATGTGTATATATATATATGTGTGTGTGTGTGTGTATATATATATATATATATATATCACTTTAAGAGAAACTTTCCTATTTTAAGATTAAAGTACTAAGTATTGAATATTATTTTAATAGTTATGTATATCATCCCAAGATTAATATTTATTGAAGTTTAGAAGCAAGATGGATTGATTTCTGTATTTTTTATTATTGAATTACTTCATAAAGAAAACTATAATACATGATGATTCACGGATGTCTAATTATATGGTTGGCTCACTTGAATCAAACTCAGAAATAGGAAAGTGTTAGTAATTTTTAAAAATTATATTGTTAAAAATTATATTATTGAATATCAAAAGACAACATTGAAGTACCCTCTGCCTCATGAAATTTTCATTAATAACACATACACACACACACACACACATGTGTGCACATGTTCTGGTCCCCCTCCTATCTGCTCACAACTCATAAGATCTTAGAAAACCAGAGCAATCCACTTCTGAACTGGGTTATAGTTCTAATATAGCTGATAATACATAGATAATAAGCAATTTCTGAAAATTAGCATAAAATCTATTTGCAGGAAATCCATGTG